GTCTCAATCCGGCCAACCCATATTGGCTATATATCGAGCCATTTAAGACTGCAGCAACGTCGCAATACCGTTAACTAACGCTTCGTATTCAATACAAAAGTCCTACCAGCACACCCCGCAAGGGATCTGTTATCACGCCCGGGCCACCGTTGTCATTTGGACGGGAAATCCGACCGATGCCGAACGCTGCCCGAGAAGATCTCGCTGGGATGCAAGGGTTTGGCCAGGCCAAAATACACTGTCCAATCGGTCCAGCACGGTTCACTGACCACTTTCGAAAATGTTTATACGTGTCCTTTACGACGCGTAATCTTGAAACCGCTACGGTAAAACGCCCGCCGCGTCGATTTGGAGTAGTCGCAACGCTAACCACTTGCAGTTAGTATACTAGTACGCAGTATGAGTTTTCGACAACATGCTCTTCAAGGGGCTCCAAAGGTTTGACGGTATCACCACGCTACCACGCGGTCCAAGCTGCGGGACGCAACGTCCCAAAATATGTGGCTCAGCGTCCACGCTGCCGAGACTACAAGCCGCTGAGGCTCCAAGTAGCACAACTGGGCCACAACAAAAGCTCATTCTGTGCTGCGTACTACATCTGCCTTGCCCGCAGATAACTTTTTTCCAAACGGCAACAAATATTGCTCGCACAATGCTCAGAAATCTGAAAGCGCAACGAAGTCGGCGTTTGACATCGAGCATATCATTGGACTCGATCTCACGAAGGTGTCCATGATGACCATTTTGATTTCAAACGTGTGAATCGAAGATCGAAGTACATCTGTATCCGGATGCCGCCATCGGGACAATGCCAACGCGCTACCAGGTATGCTGATTATCATTCCTATTTCGCTCCGTATCAGGCTATCATAGCAAGTCATCGAAGCCTACTGGCATGTCCGTTTGCAAGAGAGCGCACTTGTGGGCTGGCCGCCTCTCGCCTTTGCATGTTTTCGAGATTTTTCGTATGGTATCCGGAATCGAAGTTCCCGTTCTGTTGCGGACACAGTGTGTTTCCAGCGCCTCCACTGTCCTATACATAACGTGTCGGAGGCCGTCGTCACTCGTACTTTGCATCCACTAAGCAACAACATGACAACCGTACGCAGCGAGAACAGCGAAGACATTTCGATTGCGACCATCTCGGCCTTTCTCGCGCCGACCGCTGACTTCGGGGACAGGACGTGCTCGTCGTCGTCCATGTCGTCGTCGTCGTCGTCGTCGTTATCGCCAGCCTCGCCGTGCAGCATCCCAATCAAGCAAGGCTACGTGCGGCCCAAGCAAGAGCTCGATGCCCTCCGCATCACGTATGCCCAGCTGTTGCGTCGTTTACATACGCTCCAGGCGCGGCTCGCCAACGTCCCGGCAGCGGCACTGCCGTGGCAAGCCCGCGCCATCGAGCAAGCCACCGGCGTGCAACAAGCGATGCGCGAGAACCTTCGGCTTAAAAACATGGTGTTGGAGCGAGCCCAGGTCATTGAGACGCTTCAACGTGTCCTCACCAAGTACCCAAACATCCTTGTCGACGACGGCTCGTGGATGCTGAGCGCACTCGGAGCCGACCACCGCATGTTGCGCTTGGAGCAGCTTCTGCGGACCCAGTACGACAAGCGCAGCCGGGAGTGGATTCGGCACGGCTTGTACGACATCCGTGACGTCTGCCTCGAGCAGCGTCGGGCCTACGTCGACCGCAGCTCGGACAACACGGTCTCGGTGGGTTGTCTTCTCTCCAAAAAAGTGCCGCTCTCCGTGCAAGAAATGAGCGACGTCTATTGGCGCTTCAAGTCGCAACCGACCGACAGCCGATTTGCCGTACGTCTTGATGACAACGTGTCCAAAGTGCAAACCAAATGGTCGTTACTAGGTCCTACAAGCGTTTCACGACAACCTCGTCTACTTTCGGTAGGAGCCTGTGACAAGTTGGCGACTACACCGTGGATTAGGGAGACGATTCACTTGCCGCCGCCGGCGTCCTCTCAGATTGAGGTACAAACAGCACTGCGTCGGTACATCGAGAGCGACGACAGCGTTGTGTTTGCATGGCGAGCCATCGCCGACGACCAGCTGCATCCGATTGACGAACGCCATGTCATTGGCCAGCGCGAAGGCTGGTACTTTTCCTAATGACGTCCATGAAGCAAATGACAATATGTGCATTCTAGGACGACGATCCACGCCGTGGACGGTGGCGCTTTTGTGCAAGTATGCGTGCAGCTGTCGCTGCCCGCGCGATTCGTATCGGCCGAGACGATGTCGACCAAGGCGCTCGACGAGCTCGTTCTTCAAACGATGGAGGCCAATTGTACGCACTTTTGCAACCAACTGGATCGAGCCATGCAGAGCTATCTGCGGCAGAGAAATCGAGCTTAAATAACGGTTTGGCACCCGACGTCATTTTGTTCACGTGTTGTACCGTGGTAGTCGCTGGGCTCTCAATCACCCCAACGTGTTTGCGTTCCAATTAACTGTAAAGAAGCAAAAACGACCTCCAAAATTCTGCATACGTAGCGCTTAAACGCGTGGGAGTTGGCCCCAGGACTTGGTCGTTGCGAGTGTGAGTACGGAGTGATCCATCCCGAGGTGGACCCCACTCACCGAGTCAGAGCGCGCGCGAGGCCGTACGCAGGCTCCTGTACTCGGACCTCGCTCGTGGTATTATTGGTGATTTTGCATCTACCAAGTAAGTACACGTACGTCCCGGCGCAGCCAAAACATTGAATTTTTGGCATTCGACAGGCGACATCGTCGCTTTGCAATTCGCCTTCTCGTACCCGCCACGCCAATCCCAATGGTTAGCAGTACACGGCGAGACGAACAGATGTGGACTAGGGCCAACTTTCTTGACGGCTTCTTTCAGCGGCTGGAACTGGCTGCACGCTGCAGTCCGTTGGATACTTTGAGTTGCCGAGAGCGGTTTCAAAGCTTGTGAGACCACGACATAGCAAGGTGCAGGGCAGTGTCACGTACATCGAAAAAGGCAACGCACCATGCAGACTTTTTCTGTTTGCTCAATTGCTCCGACTGAACCCACACTCTAAAAAATGTGCGCTGCCCCTCCGTCTTCATTGCGATTCCAAGGACTGGGACAGGACCCGATGTGTGAGCATACCATTGACGTTACGAGCCCTAGTTTCCGCCCTTGGTTCCTTCATCACGTTGGCGTTTGGCCTCATGACGTATAATGTACCGTCGCGTGGTGATGCCACCAGGAGCGGGCGCAAGTTCTTTCCGGTGCACATCAAAAGACAGGTTGGATTGGGTTCAAAGATTGCACGGCGTCGTGGACAGGTATAAACAAAAGATCCATCAGTGTCGTGACACACGCGTCTTCTCTCGCTGTACCCGTGGGGACACTTGGCTTTTTGCCTCCAACATCCACACCAGCATGACCAGCATAAGTCTCTTGCCCAACGAAAAGGCCGACGACATTTCCATTGCGACCATCTCGGCTTTTCTCGCACCAACGGTCGACTTTGGCGACACAACGTCGTCGTCGTCGTCGTCGTCTGCGTCGTCACCAGCCTCGTCGAGCAGCCTCAAGCGTGGCTACCAGCGGCCCAAGCAAGAGATCGATGCCCTTCGCATAACGCACGCCAAGCTGCAGCGTCACTTGCATACGCTCCAGGCGCGGCTCGCCAATGTCCCGGCCGCGGCGCTGCCGTGGCAAGCCCGCGCCATCGAGCAAGCCACCGGCGTGCAACGGGCAATGCACGAGAACCTTCGCCTCAAAAGCGTGGTGCTCGAGCGATCCCAGGTCATTGAAACCCTCCAACGTGTCCTCTCCAAGCATCCAAGCATCCTTGTCGACGACGGCTCGTGGATGCAATGTGCTCTTGGTGCGACGGACCGCACGCAGCATTTGGAGCAGCTTTTGCGGACCCAGTACGACAAGCGTAGCCGCGAGTGGATTCGGCACGGCTTGTACGACGTCCGCGACGTCTGCCTCGAGCAGCACCGGGCCTATGTCGACCGCAGCTCGGGCGAGACGATCTCGTTGGTGTGTCTCCTCTCCAGAAAGGTGCCGCTCTCTGTGCAGGAGATGAGCGACGTACTCTGGTGCTCCAAGTCGCAGCGGACCAACAACCAAGTACGTCTTGATGACAACTTGTCCAAAATGCTACCTCTGAGTTCTAGGTACTGCAAGCGTTTCACGATAGCCTCGTGTACTTTCGGTGATGAAGTGGTATTCCCGTTTCGTGGCTCATGCGAAGCATCGTGTAGGGAGATGATTCACTTGCCGCCGCCGGCCTCGTC